GAGGGCGTTCGGAAGCACGCAGTGGACGCCAAACGGACGCCAAAGGCAGAAAAACATGTACAAGTGGTGTCTTCCATGAAGAAGTGAATAACGAGGTTTCCAGGTACTTGGAAACTCCTGAGATTATTTCTTGGGGTTCGTGTGATCTTAGATCACCAAGCTTCATTGGAGGGGTCTCGCTTGTTCTTTTCCTCGCATTTGAACGGCGACCTGACACATTCGGAGAAGTAAGGACCTGAGCGTGCGGCATTGCTCACCCAGTGGACCAAGTCAAGTGAAAGCTCGAACTGTCGTGTGTTGGCACACCCTGCGTGGTTCGACTGTCATAGCTGGCGTGGGTGGTTCGTGTTTCACCTGCACCAAAAATGGAACGGGAGGCCTTTGACTGATCTGAAACCGTCAGCAGGGTGGTGTGGTCGGCCTTTTTTTCCTCTCCAGTCTTCATTGGCGTCCGGTGGCAACGTCTGGTGGCAACGTCAATGCCTCGGCTCTGATGAAGTCTCACGCGACCGCTAGTGGTGGGGTTGGTTGTATGAAGCTTGTGTGCAAGGTGGATCAACCTATGCCTTAAGAAAGCTACATCACATGCCGCTTCACACAGCACCACTTCACCATTTCTATGCCCGAAAATGGTACGTAGTGGCAACCCATACGGTAGCCCATCCTTTGACCTCCAACACCAAAAGAAGAAGTTCAGAAACCTTCTAGGACGAACTAACTTGCAGACGTCCTCAACCAGCAGATGTCCTAACTTGGCATCCATCAGACGTGCTTGGAAACCCTTTTGACAACCTTTGCAGGTGGAAACATCTCGACTGTTTACAACATGTTGTCATATCCGTGTTTCAAGTCCCAAACTGACGAACCTCCACCCGTTGTTGATCCCCCGGATGCTTTTTTCCACACGTCGGCCAAACACTCGACAAGGCGCACCTGGACCAGACTTCGGGCTACCTCCAGCGCTGTCCAGGGCCTCAGTCTGCTTGGGGTTCGACCTGGACCTGGGACAAAAAAGGAACTGCCAGGTGGCATAAAACACGGCAAGTGTATGATAAATGGCTTAAAAGCGCATATGTTTGTGTTTGTGGTGTTTGTCGTATACCCAAGTGTTGTGGAAGCCTTTCTAATCCTTTTAGTCTATCCCATTTGGTGCTTGTGCTTGTATTCGTGAGTCGTCCTGTGCGCTTGGCACCAGCAGCTGGGCACAGCACAGCCCCGGCTCGCTCGAGGCTTGGCCAAAGCCTCCCGCGCCGCGCTGGAACGATGCCGTTCCGCCGTGACGAGGCGGCGAGCGTTCGGCGCGGGGAACGGACCGCGGTGGCGCGGAACGTTGTTCGGCGGTGGAACGGGGCGGCGAGACAACGAGGCGGTGGAACGGCGCTGTTTTTCCGTCGTCCGAGGGAGAAGAGGTGGGGAACCGCTGTTCCGAAGTCATTGTGGGAGGACAGGATGTGTCCTGTGTGGCATCCAAGAAAGGATGTCAATATAACGATATATACATAACGTGTTCACTGTTCTGTGTTCACAGCTGGGAGAGTTGATGACATCAATGTTAGATGAAGAGCAGGTGCTCTCTGGGTTTGACGTGCATATCACTGACATATGCAACCGCGACCATGTGAAGGGTGACACATCATTTCTGTCGGAGGAGATACGTGAGCCAATTCGGGGCGGTGAGTTCACATTCAACGCTGACCATGTGAAGAAGGAGGCCCTGAAAGACGTGTGACGAGCCCAGGAGGGTGAGGCTGTTGCATGCATTGCTGGAACGGAACTTGAAGGAGTCCGAAGACCACCACACCAAGCTTGGAACCTGCTCGGAGAGGAGGTGGTTGGTGGCAAAATTGCGGGAACACACCTCGCGGCGCCTACCGTAGGCAATGGTGTTGCTGCCATGAAGAAAAAATAGGCATTTCAAGGAAGATGGACATGTGAGGAAGGTCACTGAACTTGGGCGCAAGCACAGTGACCGTGCATCTAGCTTGGTGCGCAAGTACCTGCAGGACGCCTACGAGACCGGCACAAGATCTTTGACCTCTCGCAAGCCTGAAGTCATGAAGTCGGGCAAATGGACGGAGAGCAGATACCTCGACGCCCTCATGCGAGTTGGCCTCCAAACCGAGGAGAGGCCGCTCTTGAGGAAGATGGCTGTCAAGCCGAATGAGGCTTTGTCCAAAGAGAAGCCCCGAGGCATCAGCACGGGAGACAAGGGAGTCATGCTCCATTGTTTCGACCCCCCAAAAAAAATACTAGACGACGAGAGGCCCGAAAGCATTTTTCACCACGTGTGAAGTTAGAGTGTGAGTTGTGTGTGAAGTGTTCAGTGGGAAGTGTTAAGTCTAGTGTGTTGAGACAAATCGCGCGCGCATGGGACAAATCGCACTCTCGCCTGCATTTCGCGCACTCGACACGCACGATTTCCGCAGAGGGTTGCGCGCGCATGGGACAAATCGCACTCTCGCCTGCATTTCGCGCACTCGACACGCACGATCTCCGCAGAGGGCTGCATTTTCGGTTGACGCTGTTCGTCCCACCCTCCGCCTTTAAAGAGAATTTATAAAGTGGGGGAAAGTTGTTCATTAGGATATCTCCCGTGAAAGTTTTCATACTCACACTTGCATACTTACACTGGGATACTTACACTTGCATACTTGCACTGGGATACTTACACTTGCATACTTGCACTTGGATGCTTTCACTCTTACACTGGGATACTTACACTTGCACACTTTCACTTGCAAACTTTCACTTGGATACTTCTGTGCCATTGTAAGTATAGAAGTGTGCAAGTGTTCAAGTGTAAGTGGGATACTTACACTTGCATACTTTCACTTGGATACTTCTGTGCCATTGCTATGGGGAGAAATAAATCGTCAGACTGGACGTTGTAGTTATCCTGGGCTTATTTGGCCTCGGCTGGTTGATAAGAAATAGTTCGCCGGCCTGGCAAGCTGGGGGCTATCCAGGTTTGTACGTAAAGTGGTTTCGGCGGCCACCATGCAAACTTTTCAGCAAGCCTGTCAAGCCATTGGCTTGCAACTCAACCTCCGCAAATGTGAGCTTGTGGCTTCCGGGCCTGTATACAAAGCTGCGCTGCAGGCACGCTTCCCCCTTCCCTAGCTCGCAACTGCTGATGGAGCAGGACGGGCGCTGCGCAAATGGCCAGCCGAAAAGGGGCGGACACCACCAGTGACAGACCTGGGAGACAAATGAATAGAAATGCTACATGGCCAGCGGAAAAGGGCGGACACCAGCAGTGACAGACCTGGGAGACAAATGAATTGGACACCAGCAGTGACACAAAGGGCGGACACATCTTAAGAAAGAATTGAGAACCCCTACCATAAACTGTTTGGGGAAAAATCCATGTTAGATTGACCTATTCTTGGCTTATCTGCTTTTTCACTGCCTTCCGAGGCCAGCCGCCAGCGTCTTCCCCTTGGGGATCGAGTCGACCTTCGTGCTGAACCTGGGGCCGCTCAGGGCGCGAGATGTCTGGGAGGAGAGGCGGTGCCGGTACAGTGCGTGGTAGTACGGAGTGAAACATACTCAACAAGTCCAGCACACGAGAGGCATATCTTGCTCTGCGCTGCCGCCAAAGATGGCTGTGGGTCCAAAAACGGGAGACCAACCTCGGTTGACATTGGAGCAAGGACGCTACTGGGCTCCTGGAGGGGCTCCTGGCCTTACTACTAGTAACAAAAAGCTATTAGAAACAAGAATCAGCATTAGAATTAGAATCCAACTAAACACAATGGACTGCGCTGCCGCTAAGGAGGTCAACTTACCGGGGTGAAAGGAGCTCGGGGAGGGAGGGTTTTCACCCACAGCCATATGGGAATTGTTGATTTGACCCACAGGTCAGCAGACCGACTTCAGTGAAGGACGTCCTTCCCGTCCGAGTCGGACGTCGTAGGAAAAAGGAAACCGCGGTTGCGGTCGGACGAACCGGACCCTCTCTCTTCCACCCGGCGACCCTGGGCGCGCAGGAGATCTCCATCCGATCTCGGCGTTCGCCTGCGCGTTTGGCGGACCAAGAAGATGAGCAGAGCGGGTGGACAAAAACGGTAATTCCCATGCAAAGCGGTGGGGGAGGCAGGTGAGTCAGGGCACTTCTTCAAAATACCCTTGGGTGATGTATGGGCAAGGTAGATGAGAATCACTGAATACCCTATAGTTCACTGTTCCTTGTCGAACATCCTCATCTTGCCGAATCGTTCCGGTCCTTTTCAGGCACTTTGGCCCGTAGATCATGCCAAAAGACATCGCATCAGGGCACCAGGACACCTCGATAAATCCACGCAGGACAGATGTTTTTCGGCGATGTTCACTGCTTTTCTTCTTCGCTTCTGGTACTGGTCATCCAGTTGTGGCTTCGGTTGTTTGATGCTGCATGAACCGGAAGGACCAGGCTCGGGAGCCTTAAGCTCAGACCTTCTCAGGTGTATGGACACGGGGAGTTGGTGCCAAGAACCGATCTGCTAACCACCAGCGGAAGAGTGAATTTGGATCAGTTTTGACCATCTCTCACGTGGCAATGTTGCACGGATCTTAGGATCTTACATTTTGTTGCATGCAAATGAGTGGTGAAGTACAAGCCATGCAACAAGTCGATTTGATGTGTCGCGAAGTACCAAGGGTAGCTCTCGGATGCGCTCGGGTGGCATCGGGTAGCTTTGTGTTTGGTCTTCGTTTGAAGGTGCAAAAAAAGACTACACGGTCTCGGTGAACTGAACTATACGGTCTCAGGGGAGAATACGGGATCTAAAGATGATGAAAACCAATTGCAAGATCAGGTGCTTCCAAACGAGTTTCGATCACTGTCCGTTTTTGTTTGATGTGCATTTGAGATGTCAAAACATTCAAAAGTCTCTACTCAATCAGCCCTTCTTTTGTTTCTCCCATGGATCATGGGGAGTTCAAAACCACTCCCTTCTCTCCTCTCACCGGTCAATCCCACCCATCCTTCCGTTGTGCGGACGCCGGATGCCGCTTCTTCGAGGGTTCAAGAAGACTCGGTTTCACCGGATGCCATGGCAGACGAGCAGCGGACCTTTGAAGGTACGGCGGAGCGCGTTGAGCGTGTGGCGTTGCGCGTTGCACGCCGTGTTGGCCGTCAGCGTGTGTCGGGACAGGCAGTATACAGCGCAGCGCAGCGTGTTCCAGGAAAGCTGGTTGGACACTGGACATAGGTCAACAAGGTGGGACAGAGGTCGGACACTGTTTGAGAGATGGATGGATGTCGGCCTGCGACTGAAGCATCGTCCGCTGTTGAATAGGATATACCCAACTCAGAGGTGTCATTGGAGCAATGACGTGTGGTCTCCTGGCTGAACGTTGTAGGTGTCATTGATTTAAACAGGGCAATCCACTGGGGCATATAGCTCCCCAAATAGATAGAAAAGTAGATTCCCACTAAAACTGTATTAGACACCGGCCGGTATCTTCTTTCTCGAAAGGCATCGGTTGAACATTCCGAAAGGTCGCTCCCCGTGAGAACCTAAGGAACTCGGAACCTAATAGCGATGGCCTCCACCCGTTTGTACATACTCGCTGATGCCGAAGCATTTGGACATGTTTGGTTACGCTGTGCCTCCAACCTGGATTCCAGTTCATCATGACTGTTTATTAGCACCAAAAGCTTTCAATATGATTGGTGATTTTGATTGGAAGAAGTGTGGAAGATATCCTGTTTTCCGCACTTCCATCAAGCAAATACAAGACTGCCTCCGGAATAGAGGAAGTATTCTGAATTCAAGGTTTCTACCGCCTGCATCTTCACAGGTGATGACTCGGGCGGTAGTGGCCTCAGTGGGGACGAAGGCATCCACAGGTGGGGCGAAAAGAGAACCGCATGGCACCCACCTCTGACGTTCAAGCTCTGACGTTCGAACCCCGAGTGTTTTGGCGGGGTTGTGTTGGGGTGTATATCAGAGGACAGCAACAGCTTACAACAGCTTATGAGGACAGAACATTGCTTTTTGTATCACTTCTGATGGCCCACAATGGACTCGTGTGATGGACTGATGGACCTGTTCAAGGGTTTTTCATGGACAACTCCTGTTGGGGAAGTATGTGACTTTTTGCAGGCGAATTGTGTCTCCAATCGTTTCGCAGCATGTTGCCCATGGTTCATAGATAAGGAATCTTGTACTTTGGGAGCAAAAAGATCTGCAACAACACGTGTCTCCTGGAAAAGTGGATCTGGACATCACCAAAAACCAGACTGGCCCAATGTCATGATTATGTTTGTTCCTGGGATGACATCCAGCCATCCAATGACAGCAAAGGGAACTTGTTTCCCATGTTGGTTTCAAAAAGAATGGGTTTGGGTTCTGTCCCATGACCTGCAACAGTCGGTAAACAATGATCCTTGTTTTTGAGAAAGGCTTTACCAACCATCACCGTCCACTGTTACTGGTATGCCGTTATACCCAAGATGGGTTGAGTTGAATCTTTGTCCATGACCCCTGAACTGAAACACTCTCAGCCCATGTTGCACACTATGTCTCAGTTTGCCGAAGAGTCTTATGCCCCAGAGGCTTAGATCTCAAATCTGTCGGCAGGCTGGTTCATAGATGAAAGACTGAAAGACCACCATGAAAGTACATGTTAGCAGGGTGAAACTGTTGAACTTTGTTTCGGCAAGGTGTTTGAGAAGACCCGCACCGTACACTTTCCTTGCTCTACCTCTCCGCCTGCGTGTCTTTCATCCGAAACGGACCGTTCTCCGGTCGAGACCGAGGTTTTCCTGATGGGGCTCCATTAGCAGGGACCCATACCTGGCAAAAGCCACAGGGAGACAAGCAGCATGAGAACTTCAGGCGAAGCAAACGAAAATGGATGGCTGTGGTGAGCAGAGAAGATGTGGCTGTGGTTTAATACATACCGGAACGGTTCACTTACTGACGTCACTTGCGCAAGTCCAGGCACATCTGCAGGTCCCTTCAGCTAAGCTAGGTTTTGAGGATGTTGGTACATGTCCACTGTACAATGACACAAGCTACATGGTTTACAGGGATGGGGCCCCAGGTGTTGATTCGCCATCTGAACCGAGTGAGGCTTCCTCCGGACGCTGGGACGAACATCCACCAAGGGCATCCAAGGGCTACGATGTCGTTCGGACGAACATCACATGGAGGTGAACACTTGCAGTCTGGGGAAGACTCCTTTTTTCCAGAAGTTGCAGTCCGGTGTTGAACTCCAGTTCCATGGAACGTGAGTGGGAGGATTTAGGATTTACCGTTCGATTGATTTGGACTGATGGTGGGACATGGGACGTCGTCGCGTCGTTCCTGTGCAGACGCAGCACAATGTTGAGTTGGATTTGATTGCACAGGCTGCGGTGACTGCAGCGTGTTCACGCAGACCCGTTGGTTTTTTTTGATACAGAACTGACTCCATGTCTTTTTTACCAGCACTTCTTTCCCTAGGCTTCAGTCAAAAGCTCAAAACTTATCCAAAGGATTGAAAACACCTCTGCCTGTGCCAAGTCCGGTGCCCCCCAAAAAAAAGAAAGCATGAACAAAAGCAAGATGATCCTCGTTGCAGTAATTACCCTTTGTCCTGTTCTGGCACGAGTCCTTTTGTGGTTTCATCGGCTGCGCATCAGCTGGCAACGGCAGGTATAACAATGTGCGGTTCCTCCAGGAGCAAAACAAAGATGTCGGACACTCAGCCCGGCAACGGTTGGGGAGAAGCCCAAAAGAAGGCCAGGCACTGGAAGGTGTAAGCAGTGCGGGATTGGTATGCAAACAATGTTTGACTATATTGACTTATAGTATCTTATAGTTCTAATTAGTTGGAGTTTGCCCAGGACCTGGTATATTAGATACCTGTAATCTATTGAACGCAAATCTAAGGCCATGTTCCACTTCAAAGTGGAACTCTCCAAAGCACAAATCTCAAGCAACCCCACCAAGTAAAGAACGATCAGGATAGCTGGAACCAGCTTTCCAACTGTTGAACAACGATCCTATGACACTAGTTTTTAAAAGCTACACATTGACAGAAGTGACCGTTGGGTGCGCAACACATTTTTTCCTCCTTTCCAATCAACCAGAACTTCCAGTTGTCTACTTACTTCAATCTGACCCTTTCAATCCGGGTTTGAGGCCACTGAAACCTATAGGTCATATCTGCAACACGAAAAAGGGCCGACCTCCACCGGTCCACGCAAGCGCGGACGTTGAGCGCGCTTGCGCGCTCACCCCTCGCGCAAGCGCTCACCCAACCGGTCACCCTTTGCTGATCCCAACCGGGCCAGACCACCGAGGCCACGAAAGCCTTAGACCGAGTGGAGGAGGAGCGTGACGAGGCCTTCGCGGCCATCGCCCAGTGGGAGGACCGGCCGCGCAGCGACGGTGACGGCGACGGGGGGGGGTCGTTGGACGGCGAGCGAAAAGAAGAGTGGAAAGAAGAAGTTGAGGTGATTAGAGTCAGGGTGTGGAGGATGAAGCACTCGGATGAAGCACTCGGATGAAGGACTCGGTGTTTGACTTGTTTTCAAGCTGCTGGTGAGCAAGGACCTGTTAGAGGTGTTTGGGTTTGGTGTTTTGATTGCTGTGCATCCGCTTCGATCGTGTGGCACCCGACGCATGGCTTCGTCATTTACAGGAGAAGCGCTTGCAGATCCAGTCGGACTACCAGAAGCTGCAGCAAGAGCTTGCTGACACCGAGGACCAGCGGCACCCCTCTGGGCTGCGGCTTCTGACCAGCTCCGTGCTGGGTGGGGTTTTGGTTCGGGTGCCGCTGCACAAAGGGCAGTTGGAGCATCGCGTCTGGTTGTTTTGGTGGTTGGGTTGGTGACCAGGGAAGTGCTGTCCACTTCAAAGCTTGAGAAGTTCTTCGGTTTTCGTCACCCCACACTACGGTGAAAAACAGGCATGGACGTCGATCAGGACAAGTGCAACGTGTCCGCAGCGGAGATCCACAAGTGGCTCAGCGGAGTTCGTCGAATGATTTTTTGGGGGGGAGGATTCAGGTGGCCATCGCTACGAACGGGTGGAGCCGGTCGTCGAACCTTTTTTGAGGGGAGGTCATGGCACCGGGGTCTCCGACCGGGCACGCAATGCGAACGTGGGGCTCCAAAGTTTGATCCATTCCTCCAAAGTAGGGCTAGACCATCGAGGGAATATGAAGAAATATAAGGGAATGGTGTTTTCCGGTGCAAGGACCATGCCAAAGTGAGTGCGAGGACCATGCATATTGTCATTCATCCTGGCAAGATAGAAGGATGTGAACACTTAACTAGGTAGTTTCTGAATAGACGTGGCCGTGTCGTTCACTCGAAAGTGACCATAGATCGAAAGCTGGTTCTTCCTGTTGTTAAATGCCCCAATCTACTGTTTGCCAGGGATGGAACTGGGAACTGATTAGGTCAAATGTCTACATTCTAGATGTTTACCATTTTGGTCAATCTTGAAAGTAAACCCCTTCAATTCAACACAAACCAAAATCCCGCGTTGTGTGATTCCTTTCATTAGGTAGATATTTGATCGCCCCTGGTAGCCGCTCACTGACACCTCTTTTCATCCTAGGATCTCATATAGGATCTTATCCACCTTTTCTTTGATTCCAAACAGAGTTCCCCCCTCCCCTCCAAAAACCCGTTCCTTTCCTTTGAGGCGCGATGAGCAGATCCGCGTCCTCTCCGAGCAGAACCGCTCGCTCCTCGCGGGGACAGCCCAGTGGTCTTCCTTCGATCCGGGAGCGATCGAAGTCGATCCGGGGCGCCTTCCCTCAGAGCTCCAGGGGGGTTCCGGGTCCAACCAAAAAAAGAGACTGAAAAAGAGGAAGCTGCTTTCTATAGTAACCGTCCTCTTGTTCCTACTGCAGCTCCAAAGACCGTTCCTATTATTGGTAACAGCAAGGGTGAGCACCTGCCAGCACAAGGCAACAAA